ATTTTTTTTTTTTTTTTTTTTTTTTTTTTTTTTTTTTTTTTTTTTTTTATCTTCTTCTTTTCTTTTTTCTTTTTTTTTCCCTTTTTTATATATAAATACATTTGCATTTATTTGTATTTATTCTTCTTATTATTTGTATTTGCAAGAAGAAAGAAGAATCTTTTTGTCTATTTATCATCTTATTATTCATAAGAAATAAACCCTAAACCCTAAACCCTAAACCCTAAACACTAATTTATTATTATATATGGCTTAGATTTGTAGTATTTTTTATGTCAACTATGATATCTATTGAAACCCTAAACCCTAATAAACCCCAATAATAAACCGTAAACCCTTAATAAACCCTAATAAACCCTAATAAACCCTAAACCCTAATAAACCCTAGTACTAAACGGTAGTATAGTACTAAACCCTAATAGTAAACCCTAATTCGTAATATTGTACCCTAAAGGCTAATAGTGAACCGTAAACCCTAATAAACCCTAATAAACCCTAATAAACCCTAATAAACCCTAATAAACCCTAATAATGGCGTCATATTTTACGCCAAACCCTTATTTAGATGAGAATACACTAGTAGATATAACTAAACACTGCTTCTTATTAGCAAACCCTCCTAATAATATAAAAGAAGCAGCTAAACCCTCAATTATCTGGGCATCCTTGAATAGGGTTTATCCATCATGGTTTGATCAATCATTACACCCTGATTCATCCGAATCACCACAGGTATACCCTTAACCCTCATTAAACCTTCTAAACCCTAAACCCTAAAACCTTAAACCCTAAACCCTACTTCTTGTTCTTTTTTCTCCTTCAAACATATCTAAACCCTCCATCCACCCTATAAACCCTAAGAACCCTAAACCCTTTTTTTTTTTCTCTCTCTCTAGCAGATATATTCAACCCTATATTCCTCCCCTCCTAACCCTCCCAAACCCTAAACCCTAAACCCTAATTTTTTTTCTTTTTTTTTTTGCAGGCTGCTATGGATAGTATAATATATTATATGAATGAATTTTTGTCTTATAAATACCAAAGAGATTTTGATGTCATAAAAGAACACATGACCGAATTACTTGATGGAAACCCTTCTCTCGTAAACCCTAAACCCTAAACCCTAAACCCTAAAAAATCCTAAAAAACCTTAAATAACCGTAAAAAAGCCAAAAAATCTATATAAAGCCTATTAAACCCTATCCAAACCCTAAACCCTAGTTTGCTGATTGTGTGGTGTTATATTTACCTTAACTAGGTGTTAGGCAGCTGCTAGGACTGTGGGGGATTTGTTGTTGGGGTTATTGGGATTAGGGTTTAGGGTTTAGGGTTTGTGGGGGATTGCTTTATCGTAAAACGCTACTAAAAAGTGCGCTGCAGAGGGAATGTCATTTAGGGTTTAGGGTTTAGGGTTTAGGGTTTTGTGTTGTATGCAGGTAACAAAATTATATGAGTTTATTTTATTAATATCTATACAAGGAGAATCACAAGAAATTGTTGCTCGTTTTATGCAACTATCTGATGTATCACAAACAATTATACAAAAAGTTATACAATTCTATGCTGATGATGTAAACCCTAAACCCTAAACCCTAGACCCTAAACCCTAATTCCATCTTTCAAAATGTCATTTTTAGTTACTTCTCCCTATACATTAAACCCTAAACCCTAAACACTTTTCTTGAATGTGTAGCCGCTGGTGACGAAACACTCGTCTCGTTGCATGCTAACTCTATTAGGGTTTATTAGGGTTTAGGGTTTAGGGTTTAGGGTTTGTGTTGGTGTATCAGGACGAGAGTAGCGCCTTTTCTGGCGCTTTATCAAAGAATTGGGGTTCAGGTGTACATACACCCCAAGAGGAGGAAGGAGAGACAGGAGGAGGACCGCTAGCTCAGCGTCTACAGGCACAGCTAGCTGCAGCAAAAGAGCAGCTAGCTGCAGCAAAAGAGCAGCTAGCTGCTAGCGAGACACAAAGAGAAACCCTACAAGATAAATTAAAAATTATTCAACAAGAAAGAGACAAAGAAAAAGATAAAAGAATTACATTAGAAATACAATTAGAAAGAAAAAAAGATAATCTTGTTGTAAGTTTTTAGGGTTTAGGGTTTAGGGTTTAGGGTTTAGGGTTTGGGGTTTAGGGGGATTCTAGTGGCCAAAGACAATTTTGAGTTTGTCGTTCTGAGGGGTTGGGTTCAGGGTTTGCGGATTAGGGTTTATGGTTTGTATATTAGGGTTTAGGGCTTGTGGATTAGGGTTTAGGGTTTGTGGATTAGTGTTTAGTGTTTAGGGTTTAGGGTTTAGGGTTTAGGGTTATTTTTCAGAACGAATTTACGAGACAAACGGATGAGTTGGAGAAGACAATTGCCCGACTGAAGACTGAGCTAGAGGTGCCTCTAAACCCTAAACCCTAAACCCTAAACCCTATTTGTGGACCAAGTGTGGCACGACTTAGAAGATCTGGAGAGTAGTAGGGTTTAGGGTTTAGGGTTTAGGGTTTACTCGATGTGTGGTCTGCAGACAGAAAAGAAGGAAAGGAAGAAGCAGGAGGATAAATTAAAGCAGCGAATAAGCGAGTGGGCATTAAAACCCTAAACCCTAAACCCTAAACCCTATTTCTTCCTTAAAACCCTTTGTAGACCCTAAACCCTCGTATTAAGCCGTTTTTCTTAGAGCCTAAACCGTACTTCTAAACTATACATGTAAACCCTAAACCCTAAACCCTAATTGATTATTATATATTGATATACAGGTTACAAGATGAATTAGAGGTAGTAAGAGCAGAAGCAAGAAGAGGAAAAGCATTAGAGGGACAAATAGATAATTATAAATTAAAAATAAAAGAAATACCTGAATTAAAAGATACTATTAATAGACTGCAGCAACAACATAAGGTACGACAATTGCTGCTGCTGCTGCTGCTGCTGCTGCTGCTGCTGCTGCTGCTGCTGCTGCTGCTGATGGTGGTGGTGGTGGTGGTGTTGCTGTTGCTGCTGCTGATGATGATGTTGCTGCTGTTGTTGTTGCTGTTGCTGTTGGTGTTTCTGCATGTTGCTGCTTCTGCTGCTGCTGCTGCTGCAGGCAGACTTAGAGAAACTTGTTGATGCTTCTTCTGATTCTGGTGAATCAGCAGCATTGAAGAAATCTGTTGAATTATACAAAGAGAAAGCTGCTGGTAAACCCTAAACCCTAAACCCTAAACCCTAAACCCTAAAGCCTAATTCTTTAACTATAAACCCTAAACCCCAAATCTGCAATCCTAAGGCCTACGCATATGACCCTACATCCTAAACCCTAAACCCTCAGTGTTGTTGGAGGGGTAAACACTGGCTGCACAAGACCTGAACCTCAGAATTTAGGGTTTAGGGTTTAGGGTTTAGGGTTTGGGGTTTCTTGCAGAATTGGAGGAGAAGTTGCTGGAGGCAAAGAACACCAACGAATTGTTAACAACACAAAAAGAAGAAATAGAAGCAAAACTACAAGCAGCAGAAAAAAAGACGTAAGCTACCCAGCTAGCTAGCTAGCTAACAAGCTAGCTAACTGGGGAATTAGCCAGCTAGTTAGGTAGTGTGTTGGTTAGCTAGCTAGGTTGGCGAGCTAGATGGCGTGCACAGCTAGCACCCTTGGGGAGTGCTTGCTACCTTCCATGGGGAAATGTTCTGTATTGTTTAGGGTTTAGGGTTTATATAAGGGTTTATAAGGGTATATAAGGGTTTATAAGGGTTTATAAGGGTTTATAAGGGTTTAGGGTTTAGGGTTTAGGGTTTAGGGTTTATGTATTAGGGAGGTGAGCCAATTGGCGTTAGCAGAAAAAGATGCGGAGATCGATGCAAAAACTTTTGAGGTTGAAGCCCTTCAACAAGAATTAGAAAAGGCTAAGTAAGAAATATATTTATTTATTTATTTATTTATTTATTTATTTATTTATTTATTTATTTATTTATTTAGCTAGCTAGCTAGCTAGCTAGGTAGCTGGTTAGCTAGCTGGATATATGGCTGGCTAGGTAGCTAGCTAGGGAGGCAGATAACACAACGTTAGGTGTGGCTTCTGTATGGATAGCTAGCCAAGAAGGTAGCTAGCTAGCTAGTTGGCTAGCTAACTAACTAAATAGCTAGCTAGCCAAGAAGCTAGCTAGCTAGCTAGCTAGCTAGTTGTATATTTTGTTTGTTTGCTGCTGCAGGAAGAATGTTGGTGTATCTGCTGCTGCATCATTGCCTAAGGCAGCAGAAGGAGATAAAGAAGCATTAGTTGCTAAAATAGCTACTGTACGCTAAACCCTAAACCCTAAACCCTAAACCCTAAACCCTAGAAACCCTAAATCTAGTTCTGTAGCAAGCGGCTATACGCAACCCCCCCGATCTCCCAACCCCTAAACCCTAAACCCTAGATTGCTGCACCCTAAACCCTACCAAACCCTAAACCCTAAACCCTAAACCCTTTGTGTGTGCAGCTGGAGAGTGAGTTAGATGACGCAATGAGGTTAAGGAAGAGATTAGAGAAAGCACATGGTGTTGCTCTTACTCAGCTGCAGCTGCTGCAGAAGCAGCAAGAGAAGACAGGAGATAATGAGCAGCAGCAGCAGCAGCAGCAGCAACAAATTCAACAACTTATTAAACATAATGCTGAATTAGAAGCTAATGTTAAAGATCTTACAGAGGTATTTAACCCTAAACCCTAAACCCTAAACCCTACCAAACCTTAGATATTACCTTTTATACAATGTTATCATCAGTTCTATAAACCCTAAACCTCCTAAACCCTACTATATCCTCTCTTCGCAGTTGCCTCTTACCTAGCAAAATTAGGGTTTAGGGTTTAGGGTTTAGGGTTTAGGGTTTGGTGTACAGAGTAAGGATCAATTAACTCGTCAATTGATGCAACTCGTCTCCAAGAATGAATCAACACCAGACTCTGCACAGGACCTCAAGGTAATAACCTCTGCTGCTGCTGCTGGTGCTGCTGTTGCTGCTGCTGCTGCTGTTGCTGCTGTTGCTGCTGCTGCTGTTGCTGCTGCTGTTGCTGTTGCTCCCTTTCCTATTAGGATTGCATCTCTTATGTCTATCAATTCTTGTGTGCTGTTGCTGCTGCTGTTGCTGTTGCTGCTGTTGCTGCTGCTGCTGCTGCTGCTGTTCAGGTCCGTTTAGCAGCAGCAGAAGCGCAAGCAGCAGCACTAAAAGAGCAGCAGCAGCTACAAATAGATTTAGCAAAAGTACAAATAGCCAGACAAAACGAAGAAATATTAAATAAATTAAAAGAACAACTGCAGATAAGAGAAAGAGAGGCAGAATACTACAAAAAAGCAATGTACGCTAGGGTTTAGGGTTTATTAGGGTTTATAAGGGCTTACTAGGGTTTATTAGGGTTTGTAAGGGCTCATTAGGGTTAATGAGGGTTTAGGGTTTATTTAAGGGTTTTATGATTTCGTTGTGAAGAATGCTTCTTATCTTTGTCTGTTTATATAGGGTTTAGGGTTTAGGGTTTAGGGTTTATTCTGATTCTATTTTTATTAATTGTATATTATTATTTTTTATTGTTTATTATTGTTAATTGTTGTTAATTATTGTATATTATTGTTTATGATTGTTAATTATTATTAATTAGGGTTAATTATTGTTAATTAGGGTTAATTAGGGTTAATTAGGGTTTAGGGTTTAGGGTTTATGTGCGGTACAGTGAGTCTGGTGCTGAGCAATCAAGAAGAGAGCAAAGATTGATGGCATCAATTGTTTATGAATTAGGAATTAAACATCATCGTCTTAGATGCTACTGCATGCAAATTAAGCAGGAGCATCAAGCCCTTATTCTTAGGTAAACCCTAAACCCTAATTAAACCCTAAACCCTAAACCCTAGATAAACCCTAAATCATAAACAAACCCTAAACCCTAGATTGAAGATAGGTGCAGGCAATAAGAATTAAACATCATCGTCTTAGATATTATTGCATGCAAATTAAACAAGAGCATCAAGCCCTTATTCTTAGGTAAACCCTAAACCCTAATTAAACCCTAAACCCTAAACCCTAAACCCTAATTTGGCGTTTGTTCTTTTGTTGCTCAGACTGCAAGCAGGAGAAGCAGATTTAGAAAGAGAGACAATCAACAACAGAGGAGACAGCAGCAATGAAGGAGACAGCAGCAACGAGAGGGACAGCAGCAGCAGTAGCAGCAGAGGAGGAGGAGGAGGAGACAAGATAGATAGCAGCAGCAGAAAGAACAGCAGCAGCAACATGGATAGCAGAAGCAGAAAAAACAGCAGCAGCAACATGGACAGCAGCAGCAGAAAAAACAGCAGCAGCAAGATGGATAGCAGCAGCAGAGGAAATAGCAGCAGCAAGATAGACAACAGCAGCAGAGCAAACAGCAGCAGCAAGATAGACAGCAGCAGCAGGACAAACAGCAGCAGCAACATGGATAGCAGCAGCAGAACAAACAGCAGCAAGATAGGGAGCAGCAACAAAATAGACAACAGCAACAAAGGGGACAGCAGCAACAAAGGGGACAGCAGCAGCACAAGAGACAGCAGCAGCACAGGGGATAGCAGCAACAAAGGAGACAGCAGCAGCAACAAATTAGACAGCAGCAGCAGGAGGGCCAGCAGCAACAAAATAGACAACAGCAGCAAAGGAGACAGCAGCAGCAAAGGGGACAGCAGCAGCAGCACAGGAGCTAGTAGCAGCAAAGGAAAGAGCAGCAGCAAAGGAGACAGCAGCAGCAACGCTGAGAGTAGCAGCAGCGGAGACAGCAGCAGCAGCGGAGACAGCAGCAGCAGCGGAGGCAGCAGCAGCAGCGGAGACAGCAGCAGCAGTGGAGGCAGCAGCGGGAAGGAAGACAGTAGCGGCAAGGAAAATAGCAGCAGCAAAGGAGACAGCAGCAGCAGCAAAGGGGACAGTAGCAAGCAGCAGCAAGCAGCTGCAAAGAAGGCACAGGCTGCAACAAAGAACCCAAACCCTAAACCCTAAACCCTAAACCCTCAATAGAACACATCACTTGTCAAACCGAACAGGTTGCTGCTGCTGCTGCTGCAGCAGCAGCAGCAGCAGCAGAGTCAGCAAAGAGGGCTGCTAGAAGCAGCCACTGCTGATGTAGCAGCAGCAGCAGCAGTAGCACGTGCTGCTGCTGCTGCTGCTGCACATAATAATAGTGTGAATAGCAGCAGATTGCTGCTGCTGCGCATTTATATATATGCGCACAATGCATGCTAGGGTTTAGGGTTTAGGGTTTATGCCGCATCCGCCTCTGCAGCTGCTGCCAATGCAGTTGCTGCCTAACATCTTCTTCTATTTCTTGCATATCTTCCTCTTCCCCCTCCGTCGCTCCTTGCGGCAGCAGCAGCTGCAGCGCCTGCTGCTCCTGCTGCTCCTGCTGCTGCTCTTCGGACTCCAGCTCGGCATCCTCCATGGCTTGCAGCATAGTCAACAGCCCTGCACAGCATGGCGCAAGGGTTTAGGGTTTAGGGTTTAGGGTTTGCAAGAGTTTGCAAAAAACTTCCTCCGGCGTTGTGTGGTCGGAGTCAGTTTTAGGTGTTCTGCGTTTTAGGGTTTAGGGTTTAGGGTTTAGGGTTTAGGGTTTAGGGTTTACAAGATTGGTTGGCATGATTGTGTGTTCCTAGTGAGTTACAGCTGCTGCTTTTTTTATTATTAGGGTTTAGGGTTTAGGGTTTTTATAATTCTAATTGTTAATTTAGGGCTTATAATTTTTGTGATTTTAAGGGTTTAGGGTTTAGGGTTTAGGGTTTAGCTAACTAGCAGTTTTATCTAGATCACATAGAGACAGACGTAAGAGAGGAGAACGACGAAGGCTTAGTGCTGCTGCTACCTCCCTACGCAGCAACCCTACCTTCCTCTCTACTGCAGCAAATACCTGCAGCAGCAGCAGCAGCAACAGCAGCAGCAGCAACAGCAGCAGCAGCAACAGCAGCAGCAGCAGCAGTGGATGCAGATGCAGCAGATAGAGATTACAGGTACAGCAGATGCAGCAGCAACAGCAGCAGCAGATACAGCAGATGCAGCAGCAACAGCAGCAGCAACAGCAACAACAACAGCAACGGCAAGATTGTTGTTTTGTTGTAAACAACCATGAAGTGTATAAGAAACAAGGGTTTAGGGTTTAGGGTTTAGGGTTTAGGGTTTACGTGTCTTTGTTCATTTATATCTCCATCAATAGAGAGTTGAACATCAGCAACCTCTAAACCCTTATGTAAATAAACAGACACAACATCTATGCTGCTGACTCCTCCTCCAGCAGCAGCAGCAGCAGCAGCAGCAGCAGCATCTTCTTTCTCTATTTCTGCTGCTGCTGCTGCTAATTCTGCTTCCGATCTATCCTCATCATCATACTCCTCTCCTCCTCCTGCTGCTCCTGCTCCTGCTGCTGCTGCTGCTGTTGCTGCTGCTGCTGTTGCTGCTGCTGATTCTCTTTGGGCATAAAAAGGATACCCAAAGCTTGAATCACACATATAGCTGCTAGGAATAAACTTATGAGCTGCAGCAACAGCAGCAGCAGCAGCAGCAACAGCAGCAGCAGCAGCAACAGCAGCAGCAGCACCAGATTCAACACCAGCAGCAGCAACAGTGCACTACCTGGAGAAGTTGGCTGGGGTTTAGGGTTTACAGTGCGCGTACAGATGTCAATTCTATGCTTTTAACTAAAGTTTAGTGTTTAGGGTTTAGGGTTTAGTGTTTAGGGTTTGGTGTTTAGGGTTTAGGGTTTAGGGTTTAGGGTTTACCGTGTCTGGATAGATATCTTTGTAGTATAGTCTTAATTGATTCTTGTAATCTTCCTGCCTTTATTTGCTGCTTCTTTACTGTAGTATACCATCTGCTGCTGCTGCTGCTTCTGCTGCTGCTGCGCCTCTTGCTGCTGCTGCTGCTGCTGCTGCTGCTGGGTCTGCCGCGGCCTCCCTTCCATTTGCTGGTGTAAGTTATGCGCTCTTTTATGTCGTCATGGTCTATGCTGCTGCTGCGAAGGAAGCTTCTCCCCTTGCTGCTGCTGCTGCTGCTGGTGCTGCTGGTGCTGCTGCTGGTGCTGCTACTGCTGCTGGTGGTGCTGCTGAAGCCTACAGGCAGGAAGGCAGCAACTCTTTGCAGCTGCTGTTGTTGCTGCTGTTGCTGCTGCTGTTGCTGCTGCTGGCTGCTCGAGCAGATACGGCAGAGCACCGATGGCCTGAATATCCCTGTTGCTGCTGCTACTCTTGTAGCTGCTACTTCTGTTGCTGTTGCTGCTGCTGCTGTTGCTGTTGCTGCTGTTGCAGCGCCTACTGATGTTGTAAGGACAGATTGATCGGGCAGCAGCAGCAGCAGCAAGAGGAGCAGCAGCAAACTCGTGTTTGCTGCAGGCATCAAGCCGATTGTCCGTTGCTGTTTTTGCTGCTGCTGCTGCTGCTGCTGTTGCTGCTGCCTTTGCTGTTGTTGCTGCTGCTGCCGACACGGAGACCCTGGGTCGATGCCCATCCGTGTCTACAAACCCTAAACCCTAAACCCTAAACCCTAGTCAACAATCAATTAGTAATTAAAAAAATATTATAAACAAAAAAAATTATTCTTATCAATACAACAGAAGGCAGCATTAGGGGATGCAAGTGTAGGGTTTAGGGTTTAGGGTTTAGGGTTTAGGGTTTAGGGTTTAGGGTTTAGGGTTTAGGGCTGGTTCGAAAGGCAGCACAGAAACACCAGACTTGTTCTCATTATAATTAGGGTTTAGGGTTTAGTGTTGTGTTATTAAACAATTTATACACATAAAATGTACTCACAGCCACTAACTCTAAACCCTAAACCCTAAACCCTAAACCCTAACCCCTGTCTGTACGAGCTGTTGTGCGGACCTGGGACCTTCTTCTCCGAGTCACAAACCCTAAACCCTAAACCCTAGACCCTAAACCATCCCTTCTCTTGACTGGGTGGCTCCCTTGTTGCAGCTGCCTATGGAGGAACTGCAGCAGCAACAGCAGCAGAAGCATTAAGAGCAACAGCAGGAAGGGCACCTCTACGTTGTGGCAGCACCAGCTGCTGTTGCTGCAGCGCTGGCAACAGCAGCAGCAGCAGCAGCAGCAGCAACACACTCTGCATAACAGGCAGCATACCAACAGCAGCAGCAGGAGCAGCAGCAGCAGTTACACCGCAGTAACAACAACAGCAGTAGGAACAACAACAGCAGAAACAACAACAGCAGCAAGAGCAGCAACAATAGCATCGACAGCAGCAGCAGCAACAGCAGCAGCAGCAGCAGCAGCAGGGGATTCAGCTAATGTAAGACAATGAGCGAATCACAGGAGGACGATTTGCTGAGCAGCATCAGCAGCTCTGCTGCTGACGACAGCAGCAGCAGCAGCAGCAGCAGCAGCAGCAGCAGCAGCACGCAAGGAAGATGTTTAAGCGGATCGTCTCTTTGTAGTTTATATGCTTCTCTGTCTAGACACTCCTCCTTGCTGCAGGAGCAAGCAGCAGCAGCAGCAGCAGCAGCAGCAGCAGCAGCAAACAGCAGCGCGCTGCAGCGCAACCTCAAGATTGATAGAGACTTACTGGAGGCAATGGCCCCACAGGATACATACGTAAACCCTAAACCCTAAACCCTAAACCCTAACGCAAACCCTAACACCTCATAAACCCTCAACAGACCTAAACCCTAAACCCTAATTTATACAACAGCTCTCTCTCTCTAGGTCCAATCCAGTACTATCTACCTCTGCTGCTACCTCCGTTGCTGCTACCGCTTCTACCCCTGCTGCTGCTGCTGTTGCTGCTGCTGCTGCTGCTGCTGCAGGCAGTAGGCAGCAGCTGTTTTTATGGTTCAGTATTAAGTGCAACATTAGAAGAAGAAGCAAAGAAGTTGCTGCGCCAACTGCAGCAGGAAAAGAGCCATTTGCTGCTGCAGCGATGGACAGAAACTGTAAACCCTAAACCCTAAACCCTAAACCCTAATTTCTTAGGCGAGACGTGTCAGCAACACCGGCAACCGCCGTAGAAAGCTCGTACAAATTGCTGTTGCTGCTGCTGCTGCAGCAGCAGAAGCTGCAGCAGATGCATCAACAGCAACACCAACATAAGCAGCAGCAGGAGCAGGAGCAGCAGGAGCAGGAGAAGGAAGTATGTGTTGTTTGTTTGCTGCTGCAGTGCAGCAGACCAGAGGGAGGTCTATCTTTTGCTGCCTTAGGGAGACAATTGCCTCTCTCTCTTTCTTCTTGGGGTTTACGTGAATTAGGTACTGCTGCTGCTGCTGCTGTTCTTCCTGCTCTCTCATCAGCAGCAGCAGCAGCAGCAGCAGCACAACCTGCTGCTGGTAGCAGCAGCACAAGGAGACGGGCAACTTACAGACGCAGCAAGAAAGACCCCACAAGCAAAACTCTAATTGCAGATGATGTGGTGAGCTTTCTAAACCCTTTTCCTAAACCCTTTAGTCAAAAAAAAGGGTTTAGGGTTTAGGGTTTAGGGTTTAGGGTTTAGGGTTTGGGTGTGTTTCAGGCGACGAGCGACCAACGGAGGGAAGCAGTAACATTGCATATAACAAAGAAGTTATTACGTTACCTGGAGCGTCGTGCTGCTTCTGCTGCTGCTGCTGCAGCAGAAGCAGCAGCATCAGGAGATACAGAAGGTGCAGCAGCAGCAGCAGCAGCAGCAAGAATATGTATGTGGGACCTTGTTATAGACCCTAGAGAAGAATTAGGGTTTACGTTTTCTTGTCTAAGGATTTTTTCCTTAACAAGTTTATTAAGACAAGGAAAAATATCTATTGCTGCTGATGATCATGGTCTACTTACTGTACAGGTAAAAAAAAAAAGGGTTTAGGGTTTAGGGTTTAGGGTTTAGAGGGGTAGGGGTTTAGGGTTTAGGGTTTAGAGGTGATCAATCATTTGCTATCCTCAGGCAACATCGCCGCCTATTACAACAATTCCCAGCAGCTGCTGCAGCAGTAGTAGCAACAGCAGCAGCAACAGCAGCAGCAGCAGCAGCAGCAAGGTGGAGACTAGCCAAGCAGTATTGTCTCCTTTTACGATTGATGCTTGGAGACAGTTAAGAGACGCATTGGGTCTCTCCCCTAATGATAAACCCTTGGCAGACACTGATGAGGAAGAAGAAGAGGAGTAGGAAACCCTAAACCCTAAACCCTAAATTAGGGTTTAGGGTTTAGGGTTTGTGCCGGCTGGCACAACCAAAATCCGACCAAATATTTCATATATTTGTATTATGGTTTAAGCGAAAACCCTAAACCCTAAACTAGGGTTTAGGGTTTATTTAGAGGTGCATCTAGATGCGAGAGGAAAAACCCTAAATGAGGGTTTACGGTTAAGAAGTTGCTAGAGGCAACGGAAAACCCTAAACTAGGGTTTACGATTTAGCGGTAGTTAGAGGAGACAGGAAACCCTAAACTAGGGTTTAGGGTTTGGCGCTCGGTAGAGGCTACAGAAAATATTAGCGGAGGATTTAGGGTTTAGAGGTTGATAGACGCGTTGCTGCTGCAGGTGCTGCAGGTTTTGCTGCTGCTACGGCGTCAGCAGCAGCAGCAGCAA